TACATGCATGATTTACTCGAGGGGGAATTCACTGCCCATTTTTTATACATATATTGTGTATTATTTATAAAAAATTCCAAACTGGACAGCAATGCATATTAATGTAGGTGCAGTGGACAATAAAACCAAACAATGAATAATAATGTCACAAGCACTTAATAATAATTCCTCGGATAATTCAAAACAATTCTTAATAATGTCAAACCACAAATAATAATGCCAAAAGCAATGAACAATAATTCCAAGCAATGAATAATAATTCCAAGCAGTCAATAATAATGCTAAGCAATGAATAATAATGTATAGGGAAGCATAAAAGCAAAAAAAAAAAAGGAATAGAAACTGATAAAATCTATCTTGAATTATGTGAAATTATTAATAAACAAAATTTGATGAAAATTCCTCAAATATAAACAATCAAACACCTACCTATATTTATTTCACAAAGCTTAGGCTTAAAAGTAGTAAATATTTTGCATCTCAACCAGATAGGCTCACACATAGGATCAAGAAATCAAGTGTTGCTGTGGGCTGAGTAATTGGTAAGCTTAGATACTCTGAGAATCGGGTTTAGTAATAGAAATATTGCTTTAAGAACTGTGAAGAAAATATTTATCATTTTTTAATTATTATCGTCAAAGGAAGAAAAGAAAAACAGCATAAAATATGCATGACATGCATCGCCTGTTTAAAACGAATCCATAATAATGTATAGTGATGTCTGGACTATTCTATAATAATGCCAAACAATGAATAATAATGTCAAACAATGAATAATAATGCCAAACAATGAATGATAATGCTGGATAATGTCAAACAGCGAATTTTAATGCCAAGCAATGAATAATAGTGTCAAGAATGATAATAATTTATTTATTTTTAATTTTATTTATTTTTTTAAATTTTTATTTATTATTACAATAATTTAAAACTTTCATCGTATAAATTAACCCCTAGATGCGGTAACATCCGTATGGGCGAACAAAAGTTATACATAAAGAAGTGTTATTTATTGAATGTGAAAATTAAAATTAACACAATATAGGTAATAATTTGAAAACAACTCTAGACCTTCCTACTTTGATTTAGCTCTCCATAATCTCAACAAATTCACCATTATGTATGTTTTTGTCAATTTAGAAAAATAATTTTTGTCATACGCTCCCAAAAACAGCTATTTTACGGACTCATTCAAGTCCGTGAAATGCTTCTTTTCAGGATTTTTTTTTTCTTCCTGAATGCACCTTTATGATTTCAAAAATTAAGGAAATTTTGCAAATTTTAGAGTTCTGAAGAATACTTAAAGCGTATGACAAAAAATAGTGTTTGTCACACGTACCCAACGAAGTTTTTCAGGACTCATCAGCTATTCCGGACTTGGCTAACGCCTCGTCCGGAAACAGCAATGATTCGTCCCGAAAAACATCATTTTAGGTACTTGTGACAAAAATAACTATTATGTTTTTAGTTTTGATATTATTTGGTAATAGGTTGTATAATTTACTTCGAGATATATTTAGCATGACCGGATAATGGTCCATAATATCACAAGCTATTACATAGGAATTTAGTTTTTAATTGTTAATCTCGAAACTTTTTTTAACAAATAAGTGACCTATACTATACAAGTACATATTAGATAATTTTCTAGTTACTGAGTTTATATGTATATGGTTAAAAACCATAAAGGTTTAAGGTTGAAAAGTAATTAATGACTTTTTGATCTAAATTGTCTAATAAATTTATGTTAATATCACCCACAAGTACTTCAATATTATTAAAAATGTTATTAGGTAAGTACTCATATGAGTCATTTATAAAATAATCTATTACGGTTTCTGTGTAGCGGTAGATACAAGTGCATAATGCCATATTTGATATATTATTATAGGATAATGTTATTCTACTTACACTTATTTTTGTGGCATTGAGTTTATGAATTGCTACATTGGCATTTAAATTTGTTTTTATCAATATCAAAATACCATCATTCTTGTTTATTATTGTAAAAAGTTGTATACCCCTCTACTGAACATTGATTATAAAAATCTAATTGATAAAATTTACTAAAGACAATTACGTCAGAGTAATAAATTTTGTATGACTCTAAAAAGGAGAGCAGTTCGTCAAAGTTTTCACGAGTACTTCTAATATTAACATGTAATATATTAATACTTTTCTCACTAAAAATTATTTTATTAGAAATATCCAATGGTCCAACTATTTCACTAGAAGTGTCACAGCTTATTACGTCCAAAAGTTGAGCTTCCTGAACCTTTAGCCATATAATAGTTTATTTTGCTTTTCATAATTTCTAGATGGTATTTATATGTTGGACATTCAGCACCTATTGCTTCGTGGTTAAGGTTGTGGTTAATTTTGTATTTTTGGTTTGATGTATCACAGTTCGTACACTTCATACCTTGTTTTGTTGTTGCAAGATTACATTCATTTCGATTGTGTTCTCCTCCAATAATGTGCATTATTACTGCGCCCATTTTTTACATATATTGCCAGAAGTGAAATCCCCCTCGGATTTGCCTAAGTTTTGTCAATTATTTTACTTCGAATTTGAATTTGGATTTATCTGCACTGTAATCTCATTTATAAAATAATGATATTAAGATTTGAATTGCTTTTTTAGAATTTATTTATTATTATCATTATTTGAAGGGCCGGTTTATTCAGCTTCTGATAAACTGTCAAGTATGCAATTTGACGGATTAAAACACAATCTGTAATTTCATTGGTCAACCATTAATCCGCCGACCAATAGAATTATGTAAATTTATCTTGCAGATAGTTACCAGCAGAGTACAGTCTTTTTTTTTTTTAAAGATAATTCCCCAAGTCAAAAATTTAGTAACTATGTTGGCAACACAAGCCTTTGACAATTTTGCATTGTATTGCCAACACAATGTCATTTTGACTTTTATCTTTAAAAAAAAAACACATTTTATTTCCGCCCTGGTCTCATAATGATATTAAACATACTGATGAGAAAATATTTGGTTTGATTTTCCATGCTTTTCCATCCATAGACGCGTTTCGACCTATCAGGTCTCATCAGTATGGCTAGGAAAAGCAAAGAAAACCAAACCAAGTTTCGTGCCCGTAGGCAATATATACATAGTACAACGGTCGAAATTTGATCGTGGCGCCATCTAAGACAAAACTCCAACACCTGATAGGTCGAAACGCGTCTATGGATGGAAAAGCATGGAAAATCAAACCAAATATTTTCTCATCAGTGGATAATAGGGTTTCCCCACGAACTGAATTTGGTTGGCCGATTAGATTACTCAGTCACCATATTGCAGCGAAAATTGCTGCTTGGTGTTGAAGTTTTGTCTTAGATGGCGCCACGATCAAATTTCGACCGTTGTATTAAACATACTATAAGATTTTAAGTCTATAGCCTGCAGGAAATATAGGTAAAGCAGCGGATGATATATCGACATGATCATATTCGCCTATCCGCTTCCAAAAATTGAAACATTAGTCGATAAGATTTCAGAATATGAAGTGTTTAACACAATTGATTTGAAAAGTGCCTATCATCAGATACTCATCAAATAACAGGATAAACCATAAACTGCATTCGAAGCTGCTGGTAAGTTGTATCAGTTCTGAAGAATACCTTTTGGTGTAACAGATGCAGTTGCATGCTCTCAAAGAGTAATTGAGTTAATAATTTCAAAAGAAAAATTGACAAGCGTTTATGCTTATTTGGATGATGTAACCGTGTGTGGCGAAAATCAAGAGAAATATAATCAAAATTTGAAGAAATTTTTAGAAGCCGTTAGAAAACGTGGACTTACACTGAATCAAAATAAATTTTCATATGCTCAAAAATCAATCAATATCTTAGGCTACACTATAGAAAACAGATCTATGAAACCCGATCCAGACACTTTTGAACTTACTGGTACCCAAGAAAACAAGTGAACTTCAGACAGTATTAGGAATGTTCTCCCATTATTCTAAATGGATACAGATTTTTTTGAATAAAATTAGAAGTAAGTATTTTCCTTCACTAGAAAATCAAATCCTGGATTTTGAGACGATAAAAACAGACATTGCATACTCACTCCTTTGGCCAATAAATGAACATGAAACTTTAGTTGTGGAAACTGATGCATCAGAATTCTGTATAGCCGCGACTCTGAGCCAATCAGGAAAACCTATAGCTTTTTTCTCAAGGACCTTGTCTGAATCAGAAAGAAAGCATTCATTTGTAGAAAAAGAAGCGTATGCATGTGTAGAAGCGTTAACAGAAACACTATTTAATGGGACGACATTTTAAACTTGTGACAGATCAGCAAGCAGTTTCGTTTATGTTTGATACTAAACATTTTAGTTAAATTAAAAATGAAAAAATCATGAGACGGAAACTTGAACTACCTTGCTACAACTATTATCATTCATCGGCCTGGAAATAGAAACACAGTAGCTAATGCATTTTCGAGAATGTTCCAACTACATTAAGATTTGTGTCATCCGGACATTACTAGGATGTATCATTTTGTCCGAGTGAGAAACCTACCCTATTCTCTAGAAGAAATTAGAAAAATGACTGAAGTGTGTCCAGTGTGCAACAAAATCAAACCAAATATTGATTTCAAAGGACCACTCACTACCTTCAAAAGGTAATCATAAAGACATGCTTACCATTGTGGACGAATACAGCAGATTTCCTTTTGTTTTTTCTTGTTCGGATGTCACAAGTGCAACTGTCATAACATGCTTTGATCAGTTTTTTGGAATGCTTGCCTACATTCATTCAAATAATGGACCATCTTTAGTATTTAAGACTTTGAAGCTTTGCAGCTGTAATACTATTGAAGTTGTATTGAAACCATTCACAGGAGATTTATAGAGAATTTAATTGGCTTCAATTGAAGCCTAATTACATTAAGATCGGATTGAAATTAATAAAGTTGTGAGACAAAATGTGTCTTGGTGTTATTTTGGATAAAAAGTCTTTCTTTTCTTTACAGGTTTGAGGCTGAAATCTCAGGCCAAGCTCTAATAAACAGCTTTAGAGTGGGGCCCACCTTCATCCCAGGCTTCGGCAACATACCGCCACCCCCTCAACCCCCAATGCTGATTCCGCACCAACTGAAAAAAGTCTACAACTCGCAACCAGTCCTCAGCGCTCCGCCCGCCGTTGTTTCAGCCAAACCCGCTTTATATTTAGGTAAAATTAATTGAGAAAATTTAACTTATTTTTCATATAAAAATTGTCCTTTATAGCTCCAAAATCTTTGCCTCCTCAAGCTGCCCCCCAACCCCAGCCCCAGCAACCCCAGCCCCAACAACCGGCCCCCCAACCCCAAGTAGACTTCATGGCCCTACAAAACGAAGTGGAAAAAAAACTTAAAAAGCTCAAAAACGAAAAAGTCAGTGCTGAATTGGCCATTTCTCAAGGCAAAGCCAGCAGCGCTTTACAATCCTTTGGCCACGATGAAACAAAACGCAAAGGGGGCTTCAAAAACAGAAAACTAGTTCGGATTGCTGGAGGCCAAACGTGGGAAGACAACTCTTTAGGCGAATGGTCCGAAGACGATTTCAGGATTTTCTGTGGTGATTTAGGCAATGACGTCACTGATGAGCTTTTAACAAGAACCTTCAACAAATATCCTTCTTTTCTACGAGCCAGAGTCATCAGGGATAAGAGGACAAACAAAAGTAAAGGTTATGGGTTTGTGAGTTTTAAAGAGCCAATTGATTTTACCAAGGCAATGAAGGAAATGAATGGGCGATATGTGGGTAGTAGGCCTATTAAATTAAGGAAAAGTACTTGGAGGAATAGGTGCATGGATATTGTTAAGAAGAAGGAAAAGGAGAAGACTGCTTTGGTTAATTTGTTGACTTCTGCAGGCAAATAATTTTGTGTGTATTATTTTCAAATTAGCTCTTAAGTAATTTCTGTGTAAATAATTAATTGGTAAATAAAAAAGTATTTTTAGGAATTAATAAAGTTGTTTTTAATGGAAATTCATTCAAATTTTATCTTCAACCTGATCAGTATGAAATTTTTGGACCAAATCTGAAAATTTGAAAGTTTCAAATCTAGTAAGAGTCTAGGGTTGTTTTCTGATATTCTTCCTTGAAGCTCTTTCTATCTTCAGAAGCTTCTACTATAAGTTGTTGAAACCATTCTCTCTTTTGGAATCATTTTCAAGTCTTTCTTAGAGATTCTGAACAATCACTTCTCAAAAATTCTGAATGCCTACCTAAAGTCATCTGAATTTGAAGTGGTCTAGAGGTTTAAAGCCATTTCTAAAACATCTCAAATTAATTTTGAAAATGCTGAGTTCCTTTTTCAACCTCTGAAATGATTTGTTACCTGACTGAAGTGTCGTAGATTGTCACAAAAAGCTGTAAACTTTTCACTCAAAAAAAAAAGAAAAATCATGAACGAAGCTGGAAAAAATGCGGAAAAACTTCCAGAAATTCCTATGGAAACTGGTGCAGAACCCGAACCTGCGCCCTCGCGAAAACTCAACACGTATTGTTTGGAAAATTTTGAAGAAGAAGAAGAAGACGGCACAATGATAGAATCAAATTACATCCGGAGGCAAAAGCGAAAGCAAATGGAAACGAAAAGGGAAATTGCCAGGATGCGAGCCGATTTGCCTCAATACACCTTGCACGAGATCAGAATGTAAGAACTATATCCTATTCACAATCCGATGTACAGGTAAATTTATCACCTTTCCCTATCAAATAGCATTGAAAGGTGATAAATTTCACCTGTACCTGTGAACATTGGATTGTGAATGGATAATACATATTTTCTTCATCAGTATCTGATTCAAGATTTTGAGTCTTCAATATTTCTATTAATATATTCCAATTGGCTATTGGAATAGGAATTTTCGTCTGCAGCTTCAAATATCTATCAAAAATTTTCCTTTTTGAAGGCACAAACTCCCATTCCATGTAGCCTTGATGTTACAACTAGAAGAAACCGGCTACGAAAGCACCAAAGCTTACATTGAGCAACTTTTCATACTGAATGAAGTTTTGAGAAACGACGCAGGACCTATGAGCGTTTTATGGACGAAGCCTTTGCTCAGAGACAGCGTTGAGGAGCTCAAACATTTGAACGATGCTTTGATGATTGCAGAGGATTTCCATAAAAATGGTATGTATCATCACTTTACAGATTTTTATTTAAATATCTTGAAATCCCTGAAAGATATTGAATCAAATTTCTAGCAATTGTAGTTCCCTATCCTATCTCTTCTAAAAAACCTGTATTCAATGCTTTTTTTAATAGTGTATAATTGTAGATGAATATAGAAAAGAAGCTGAAACAATCCTGACTCTGGCAGTAGACATAGCCTTCAAATTCGAAGGCTGGTATTGGCTGGCCAAAGAATTAATCCTGCAGTGCATAAGCATTGCAAGCCTAAACAAAACAACCGGAAAACATGAAGCCATGGCACGATTTATTTATGCTAAAATACTCATCAAAAAAGGTTTTTTATTTTCAATCTTTGAAAATTTCTTTAACAAATTTCTTTAGTTCACGACTACGACACTGCCGAATTGCATCTAAACTTGGTCAGAGAAATGTCGAGCGGTAAAAGTTGGAACCTGAAAAAAATCTTACCAAACACGGAAAGTTCTAATACGCTTTTCATGGATGTCAATAGGTTATTACACGAGTGCTGTATGAGAAATGCCAAACTTAATTTCAAAGTCAATTGGAGCAGGGCTTTGGAGTATGCTATTTTGGCCAAGAAGCGTGCTATTGAAGGTACGATAACTTGTTTTCCAATTATAACAAAACTTCATGTAGGTTTGTTCTAGCATGTTTTTACGAAGGTGAAACGAGAGCGTTTTATCTCAAAGGCCAGTGCGAATTGAATTTGGGCGATTTTAAAGATGCTGTCAGCACTTTTAGTAAAGCCTATCATATACAAAAGAGTCAGAAGTCGCCCAAAGGGGTTTGCGAAGCGTTGATGGAACTATCCAAGGCTTATTTGATGTAAGATTTTTTTTTTTTCAAATTTTAGCTATGATTTTTACAATCATTGAGTGATATTTCTGCCTAGAGTCAATTGTCTATTTTTTGATTTTTTTTCTGGGAAACCTGGAGCAGTTTCACTATACTGTCACGGCTTTGGGGTACGCGACAGAAATCTTGGGTTCGTTTACTCAAAATCAAAATTCAATTAACACAACAATAATTTATTCCACGTTACTATACATTCTGAGGTACGACTCTGACACTAATTACTTCACTAATTAACTCAACAACCAAACTCTTTACAATTGAACAATAATCACTATCTAATGGCCATTTGCACGACTATCACTTAAGGGATATTTAATACAAGTGCAGCTTTGAATGTGACTTTTGTAGAAACAAAAGTCACATTCGAAGCTTCACTTGAAATAAATATCCCTTAAGTTCCCTTAAGCTATAGCGGTGCAAATGGCCGTTTAATCATATCAAAGTTAATATTAAACCTAAAACTACTAACTAATACCGGCCTTTATATATTCGTAATCTATTTGTGTAGAATCCAGAATAAACGCGATAATGTTTTTGCCCGAATAAAGCAGTATTTTCTAGATTTCAAGTTAAATTTTGTACATGCTGGCGAACGCGCCACACTGCCCTCCTCTTAAGGTTGATCGTCTCGATCAAGTTCGCGCCCATGATATTTTGTTAATCTGTCCAAATTTACAACTTTCATCTTACTCTTGGTGTTTCGCTGAGCTCGATGAGCCAAATCATTGCTCCTCTTGATTATTCTGTAGGGTCTTTTTCATGCTGAAGATAATTTCGATGACACTTCTTTCTTTCTTGTTGGATTATACTACTACACTAAATCACCTTCTTGAAATCCGGCTGAATTGGCTTTCAAGTCGTACCTGGTCTTTATTGAGTCACTGGCCAGCTGAATATATTCTCGAGCTAAATTATGTATCCCCAGAAGTCATGCCCTTACTTCGTTGGTATAATCTCGAATTTCTTTTCGTTCTTCTTCAGGTATTCCAAACATAAGATTGTAAGGTAATCTAAGTTCTCTTCCAAAAACGATTCTAGGACTTCCACCTGTTGACTCGCGAACAGCTGCTCTGTAAGCTATTGAAAATAGAGGCAAGTGTTTGTCCCAATCTCGCTGATTCTTTGTGACCACTTTTATCAGGTGTTCCTCTATGGTCTTATTAAATCGTTCTACCATGCCAACAGACTGTGGATGTAAAGGTGTTGTCCTTGTCTTACGAATTCCTATGATCTCACAAATCTTCTTAAAGATGGCAGATTCGAAGTAAATGTTGCACACCATGACGACTAAAAACTTTGTCCACTAGCACCTGAGCAACAGCGATGGTTTCTTAATTGGGAATAGCGAGAACTTCTGTCCATTTACTGGAGTAATCCATGATAACCGAAATGTATTTATTACTACGCTCTGACTCAGGGAACGGTCCAGCAACATCTATCGCTATTCTCTCAAATAGGAGACCGACGTTGTACTGTTTCATGATGGGCCCCGGAGATCTTAGTTTAGGGCCTTTACTGGTAACACAGATGTCGCATTTTCGGCACCTGTTTTTAACGTCTTCATGATAGTGAACCCAATAAAAACATTCCCGAATTTTGTCCATAGTCTTGTTAACTCCAAAATGTGCCCCTGAAGTTCCGTCATGTATTTCTTTTAATACATCTTCCACTCGGTCTTTTGAGATAACCAGTTGGCTCTTAGTGGATTTCGCATCGGCACTTTCCCAAACTCTTTTAAGTAAATAATTTTCTAAGGCCAGAGAGTTCCACTGGGCCCTTAACGCCTTGTAAATCAAGCTCTTGTTTGACACGTCCCTCCATTCTGGCCTACATTCATCATTTTCTTTAAGATGTAGAATTTGCCCGATATCCTGGTTTGCCTCCTGATCTTCTCTCATTTGTTTGGTAGTCCATTTGTTATCGACGATCAGGCCCGTTCTTCTCAAAGCTGGACTAGTGTTTTTCTCATGTATATCAATTCTTTGACAATGCTTGCAATCTTCTTTACATGGCCGTCTAGACAGAGCGTCAGCATTTTTATGCAGGTTTCCAGGTGAATGTATAATTTGGAAATCGTATTGCTGCAACTTCTCAATCCATCTAGTGAGCTGTCCTTCGGGAGTTTCCATTTCTAAAAGCCATTTTAGAGCTGCGTAATTCGTTCGAATTAGAAATTTACAGCCGTAGAGATACTAATGGAAATGGTCGACTGCTTTTACTATGGCAAGCAACTCTCTTCTGGTGACACAATAATTTCGTTCGGGCTTTGTTTGATAAGGTCCTACCTGTGGTCTTACTGTAATACTCTATGACATGCTCTTGTAAATTTTGAATCTGTGAAAGTGCAGCTTGTAAATGAGTCCAAGGTGCCACACCTTGTCGAAGGCTTTGGATATGTTGTTGCCTTCCTCTTATTGAACCCGTCTCTAATGAACCTGGTTAAGCGGGTTGTTTGATGTATTGCTGATCGATTGGCTCTGAAACCGTACTGTTGTCCAGGAAGTACGTTTCTGTCCTCGAGATGGTTGTTGAGCCTTCTGAGGACTATGCGCTCTGCTATCTTGTTGAGGTGAGGTAGCAGGCTGATTGGCCTGTAGTTGCTAGGTTGGTCCAAGGCTGTATTGGCTTTGTTGATGAGTATGACGTCAGCGTTCTTCCAGGATGTGGGGGTGTGGGGAAGTGCTGCGTTCTCAAAATGCCATTCACGATGTTTGTGAGCTCCAGGATTTGCGTGTCAGGAAGACGTCGCAGGATCATGTTGTTGATCCTGTCTGGTCCTGGAGCTTTTCTTGGATTGACTCTGGATGTCAGGTCTCTGATCTCCGCACTGATGACGGGTGGTATGTCAGCGTTTGGAGGAGGTTGTGTTTATATGAAGCGAATCAGCCAACACATCAACAGCCTAACTGAGATATCGTCCCATCCAGAAGATTTTCTATTTTTGATACTCAGTTTCTGAGTAGCACAACACTGGACGGTGGAGTTGCAACAAATAAATATTTTCACATTTTAAGGGTAGGTCCTGGGTGTCCAAGTGAAATGTAGGTAGATTAATCTTGCCCAAACAATAGGGATTCCGTAATTGGGTAGAAACGGCCAAAAATTGAGACGCACACAATAGAAAATGAGTATTTGATTATGATCATTAATGACATAACCTAATGACGTTATGGTTTATGTTTGTGTCAAATGTTTGTGTGCCTCTTGTCGGCCATATTTGTGTCACGTGTTTTGGATAGTCTAATTCGACTTCCCTCATCGATTTCCCTCACTGTAATTTATTTACCTTTGCTGACAACAATGAGAACATATCAGGTAAAAACGCTAAAACAGTGAATGACATATTTTGGCATATTTGTTTTATTTTTTAATATTAAAAAAATAGAATGACTAATTATTATTAATGGTGTGCTTGCAAATAAAATATTATACAAACCTCGGAGGAAAGTTTTCATTTCTGTCTCGAGAATAATAGTCAATCTCGACGCTTCGCGTCTCGACTATATAAATCTCTCGACAGTAATGAAACACTTCCCTACTCGGTATGTAATATACTATTTCTACCCGCAAAAATATGTATAAACACACAGGCTTGAACATGCTCACGCACTCGGCCACGTTAATTGTCCTGACACGGGCGATCTTTATCTATGCGTGGGGCCGGCTTCGTCACAGAATATCGTCGACAGCAAGTATACGTACTTACGCATCTGTATTAGGTGATCTGTGGTTATATTTTTTGTCAGTTTTTCAAGTTACCACTAGTGCCAATTCACAGACCATTCCTTTGAAGATTTTCTCAATTTCTCTCTGAAAAATACTAGTTGCACACGTAATACCAAAAGGCATGAGCTTAACCTTGTAGGACCCTCTCTCTGTATTCCAAGTTGAAATCGACTTGTACTATTCCGGCCATGTAAGGTCCATATAGTGCACACCCTATATAGTTATTATTTTCTGTAATTGCAAAACCAATATAATATTGATGTGCTGGATGAGCAGGTCACACTGACTCAGTAGGTGTTACACATATTTTGACGACGAATCTAATACAAAATTTCTAAGAAACAATGCGTCTTTTACTCGAATGAACGATCCTGTGGGTTACCCAATATCCAAAGGATCATAGTAGAAACCCATTACCACTGCTCTATGAACCTGCGAGTCTCTCACATGAAATTAAACGGTAACAAACAAAATAGTACCTATCACAGTATGAGTGCACACCCTGTATTTTCATTATTTACTGTAATTGCTAAACCAATATAATATTAATGTGCTGAATAAGCAGGCCACACTGACCCAGTTAGTAATGCAACACATATTTTGATAACGAATCTAATACAGAACTTTTAAGATGAACGATCCTGCGGGTTACTCAACATTCAACGGGTTATAGTAGAAACCCATTCAAGATTCCTGCGGGTAAGTTTGAGGGTTCCTGAAAAATACTTTCAGCCATACCAGCAACTTGCAACTTTCAGAATTTGTTAAATGAAGTTTCTTCATGATACAAAACAAAGTGGAAGTTGATATATGAAGCTCACTTTAGGATTTGTTAAATGAAGGTTAATCATGCCTTCAGAACGACTTCAAATTTGAAATAAATATAGACTAAAGCTTCCTATTTAAAACACCATAATCCTCTGGCGTCAAAATTTATTTTAGATTTTGAGTCTTACAGGGTGTCAAGTTATAAAGTACCACACCTTGTAATTTTTTTATTTTTGATCGTACAAAAAGAAGTTATAGAGGGTGGTACTTCATAACTTGCCATCCGGAACTCAAATGTTTCTTTCAACAAAGTTCATACGTTTTTTTTTAATTGCAACTTTGATAATTTTTTACTGCTATTTTTTTTAGAACCACTTCAAATTAATTAATTAAAATTTCTAATAAACTGCCTCGTAGTTTACAAATAATGGAAAATCATAAACAATTCAAATCAAAAACCGAAATAATTATTATTGACCTCTTAGCTTGACTGATTATTTATACAAGTATGACATTGTTTTTTTGCAAAATTGCATAATAATTTACTAATACTGACAATTCTAGGCTTGGTAGTACCGAACTGGCCCTGAAAACCCTAACCGAACTAAAAACCCTGGCCGAACAGCACGGCTTCCAATTCTACCTCGCCCAAGCCTTCCGGTACTTGGGCGAGTACTACTTAAACTGCGGCCTGCCCCAAAAGGCTTCGCCTTTATTGGGTGATGCCTTGAAAATGTTCCACGACACTGGACATCCGGCCGAAGCTGACCAGGTACGAAACTTAGGCGCTTTGTCCTCAGGTTTAGAGCTGATGCCCGTTTTTGTGCCTTTGCTTCAAAGGACCGATAGGCGGTGTGAAGATTGGTATGAGAATTTGCAAAAAGTTGTCAGGTGGAAGGATTCTAGAGAGGCGTTTTGGACAAATGAAGCTGAATCTTTGGAAGTCGATAAAATTTCGGAATTGGCTAGCATTTTTCAAGAGTAAAGTCAATCGACTGAAGATTTATAGATTACATATTATATGTTTCTAATGGCCGTTTCCACCAACTATTTTAGGATAAGTATTGCCTAAAATTACCTTTTTACATGGAGAAATATCAGTTTAAGGAATACTTATCGTTAAGGATCCCCTAAAATAGTTGGTGGAAATGGCCATAAGTATTTGATTATGTTTTTTAAAAACAAACATACTTGTCTTGGAGTGTGCTATTTTTATTTTGAAAACAAATAGGTTAATCTCCTATTGGTTATCAGTCAAGTAGTGTAGTTTGATGTACATGTTACGTATTGATGAGGCAACTATTTGAAACCTTAATGCCATTGATATGGCATTGAAAAAAATTACCTTGCACTTGAACTAATAAAATTTAAAACCAAAAACTATTACATTGTAGTTTTTTTTTCAAGATAGTTGAACCACTTACCTTTGTTACTGTCATCAGGTTGTCTTTAGACGCTTTCTCCTGAAAGAGAAAATCAGATATAATGAAAAATTTTCATATACTTTCTGAGTTACAGAGGTGAGTACCTATTAGACTACATCATTATGAAAAATTTAGCAATTCTCAATAGGGATAATAAACCTACTTTTGTTATAGCAACTCGTAAGAAGGTTCTAGATATTACTTTGGCCTCTCCCCGTATAAGCTCCCAAATAACCTCTTGGTGCGTGTCAAGAGATTCTTCCCTGCCTGATCACAGACATATTTGCAGGAAAATCTCACAAGATGAGAGACCAGCAGAGCAGTTTGGTGATCCGAGGAGGATGAAATAACCTTCGATTTTTTTAAAAATTATTTTCAAAGCGACCTAACTTGAAAACGAAAAGCTCGAGAGAAAAACTTCAAATACAAAACTTATAGATCTCGTCAAGTACTACAAAAAAGCCTATAAAAAGTATCCCGCCACGGGACTCCGTTTTCGAGAAAATCGACTTGAAAAATTTTAACAAAATTAGAAAGAATTTCAACTTTGACAGCTGATATCTCAACGACGAAAACGGCCTGGGAATCTCAATAAAAAAATATTTCATAGGTAATTTTATTCTCTTTCAAAAGAGATATGACTTGAAACGATCGGTTGAGAAATAGCGGAGCTATAAGCGAAAAAGTAACGTCGGGTCAGATCGCCGAAATTTTTATCTGGCCAAAATCGAAATTATGCTTTTTTAATTTTTTCCCAGCCTAAGATGCGTCATAGCAAGCAGGGTCCCATAAGCTTTTCAACGTTTTTTTTCCTTCTCTATCTGATGGTATTTTTTGGAAATTCGGAAAAAAAAAAAAATCAAAATCAAGAAGGATGGAGAGGCTAACTTTTTTCCAGTACATCGGAGAAAACTGAAACTCCGCGGCCTTATTCTGTAACTTGCGACCGCAGATAATTGCGCAATTGTCGCTGCCAAACGCTAGTTTTCTATTAAAAAAAAAGCAACTTGCGACCGGTTGCTGGTTGCTATGTAGTTGCTGTTCGTAGAGAATAGGTCTGCGGAATATCCACTCTTTTAGACCCCTTCGGTCTAATGGAGGAGCTTCATGGTGCATACAATGCCCTTCGGGCTAATGGAGGATGGTACATAGTACAAAGTACCATCTAGACTGGAAGTACTGGGAGTAGTAACAGAAAGTTCTTCAGTAAGATAATTGAATCTTATACTATTATAATATCCTCACTAAATGATTCTTTGAGATCTTTTCTATTACGCCTAATAATATTTCCTCCAGAATCTTTGACTAGATAAAACCTTGTGACTAATGTTTAGAAACAACTAATTCAGGTTCCTATCTATTAGAAACATGATTATATTAATTATTAGTATTTCCTCGAAAGGGAGCGTGGGTTCGTACCCCACACCTGACACCATCTATGATGTTAATCACAATAAGGCCGGCTTCTCATGAGCGTAAACTTGACATAACTGGCGCAAATGCTGAATACGTGAATTTTGGCGCAACATTCAAATGGAGTGGAGAATTTACGCTGATTTACGCCGCCGCGTATGTCAAAGTTATATTTTTTTTCCTAAATTTTCAAATATTTCTTTGAATTTTGATTGTACAAATTTGTATTTGTTTTTGCTTTAGTTCCAAATGGTTGCAACCTTAACCTCAAAAACGCTGAATTTTTACGCAAAAAGTTGAACTTTGCTCAACTTTTGGCGTATCTGCGCCAGAGTGTCAAGGTATCCAATATGGCGGGATTTTGACCAATCAGAATTCTGCATTCAGGTACGCTGTCACGCCATAAATGTCAAATTACGCTCATGAGAAGCCGTCCTAAGGAGATTACTTTATTAGTTGTGAGCGTATATTAGCCGGCGTGTTCGGTTCTGTCATCTTTTTTGTCTATTTGCTCCGAAATTTTGACAGGCACGTGATTTGTAAATTGAAACTGTCTGATCCAGTCTCGTGCCTGTCAAAATTTCGGAGCAAATCGATGAAAAAGATGCCAAAACCGAACACGACTATTGTAACGTAACATTCAGTTGACAAGCTTCCTAATGACAATACTGTGCAATACTGTTCAAACCATTATTTTGAGGTAGAATAATAAGAAAGCGACATAAGGAGAAAAAAGCGTATCCACTTCCGTTATATTACTACTACACTTCTGTCCGAGATTCTATCACTTTTGTCATAGCAATGCGTCAAAATTGCATCAGGGCCGCATTTTCTATCCGAAGATTTTTCAAATGCGAAGAATTTTTGAAACCCAGAATTCCTATTTTGGGTCTTGGAAGGTTCTCTTGTTTCAGTATGTTGGAGTTTTTATAGCCACTTTTTCTTTCTTGGTGTAATCTCGATTTTTTTACGTTTTTAAATAAAAATTATAAAGAATCCATTTAGTTCGGCTCTGTTTAAGTAGCCATTTTGTTCCTACACTTAGCCACGCCTACCGATGCCCTTATCTATTGCACTATTCGAATGATGACAGCGTCGCCTTATTTATTCTACCTCAATGGTTCAAACTAATAACCAGCTATATAGGCATATATTCAACTATACCTAACTAACTATATAATACAGACCTTGCAGCATTCCTCGACATAAAAAGGGCCTTTGACCGTACCTCATTTGAATCTATGAACACTGTTTTATCCAGACATGGAGTCACACACACCATCAGCAAATGGATTGATAACAATGCTTCATGGAAGACAAGTTCAGGCTACTCTAAATAATGATGCACTGGAGATGTCAGTATCAAAAGACTACCCACAGGGTGAGGTTCTATTCCCCTACTGTGAGACGGGTCGTATTTTCGAATATCCTCGCATACGAAATTTGATACGATTTCGAATGCTCCCCATTTAATTTACATTGCTGTCAGTCAAATTTCGTATACGAAATATACCTACTCGAATGGTTTCGAAAATAGCATTCCTGGGTTGTAGACAAACTCCCAGTAGACCATAACAAAAATATAACAGAGCAAAGCAATATTGGAGCCATCTAAACTTTAAAGACTGGCTTGTCTCTGCATAATGGGTACAATGAGAAGAACTTCCACTGATGCTATATATGGAAAACATACATTTGATATCATTATCAAAGCTGAGGGAAGAATGGGGTCTTACAGACTCAATTGTAGCCAGAACTGGAATCCGAGTAGAACATTGTTACAAACTCACTATTTGAGATGAGAAGTGACATCATGAATAAATACTCACAAACCGCTCCAAACCCAGATTAACTGGGAAAACAGAACAAAAAATTCATTCGTTTAAAATGGTAAGTTAGTATGGTACACTGATGGTTCCAAAACCGACAGTGGAACCGGTGCCGGAGTATATGGCCTATCCCCAAGATCAAAATGGTATTCTCCATTGGGGAAGCACACCACCGTATTCCAAGGCGAAATACATGCAATAGAGATATGCCTGCGGTAAAATCTCAGAAAGGGATATGTGCATAAGGATATCATTTACACAAATATAGGAAAAAATGACAAAATAGAATTTGAAAGGTATATTGTTTTTTTTGCAGACGCAAATGGTAAATAAATCAGCTCTAAATTGGAAATAGTGCCACTTTTTAGATCAGATAGATACGTTTTGTTTTACTTACATTCACCTGTGTAGGTACCTTCAGCCTAATTCTATTTCAATTATCTATTATTTATAATTAGCTTCAAACATCAGTAGGTACTTATAACTGTGGGATATTAACTCTTAACGGATAACTTTAACTTACGTTATATTGTCAAAAATTTACCGATTAACGATTATTAAAGTCAACTTTTTAAAAAACAAATTAACAATTAATGACTTTTCAATTAACTTCGCCTACCTTTGTATACCTCTCACTCCACATTATTGATATTTTCAGAGATGAATTGAATTTGCAAGTTTGCAAGTATGGTTGAGTTAAATTAAATAAGAAAATAACAACTATAAGATGTGGCAATAGCGGAGAATATGTTTCGAATGGGTTTAAAAATAACTGTGCCAGATACGGTTACCTATATTTTAGATCACTCTGTAAAATACACCTGAACAGAATGGCAAGGTAGAGAGAAAGAATAGAAGTTTAGTAGAAAGGGCTAGAGCAATATTAGTGGAATTTGGAGTACCAAAGGAGTACTGGGGAGAAGCGATTTTGACAATTAACTACATCATGAATAGGGGAACATCTTCTGGATTAGAGAAAACTCCATTAGAGATGTAGTATGGTAGGAAACAAAATGTGAGCAATTTTAGAGTTTTTGGCTGCATATGCTACAGTCATATACCAAAAGAATGCCGAGGTAAATTTGATTCGAAAGTTAAGAAATGCATAATGATGGGGTATGCTCAGACAGGTTATAATGGGATATAGAAAAAGAAAAAATGATTATTGCAAGAGATGTGATATTTATTGAGAGTAGTTTGAATATGAGAGGAAATAATGTTTGACAGAAAGGTTCGATGAGATAGACACAATAAATGAGCCAATAGGGATGGTAAATAGATAAATAGAGTATCAAAGAGAAACAGATGATGATAATGAGATTGTGAATAGAACCGAGAATAAAAGATTAGTGAGAATACCACAAAAATGCGAGGATGATGAGCTCTATATGGCATTTGATAAGTGCAGTTTTGTTGAGAATGTATCAGTAAGTTTTACTGAACTAAAGAATAGAGTAGATAAGGAAAAATGTCTAGGAGCTGTAGATAGAAAGTTAAAATCGATTGAAATTAATGAGACATGAGAAAAGGTGAAAAAACCAAATAATTGTCAGATTTTAGATACAAAATGGGCATTTTCTTATAAATCGAGGAAAAATAATGAAAATCATAAATTCAAGGCGCGGTTAGATGTTAGGGGTTTTACACAAAAAGATTATCACTTATAGCCAGAATGACGACGATTCGGGCTTTGTTTATATTAGGAAATCAATTTGGCTATGTATTTCAACAATTATATGTAAAAACAGTATTCTTGAATGATGGGATTTTAAATGAGGACGTGTATATTTATGCACCAGATGGAATACAATTGTCTCAAAATTTCAAACTCGTTCAGTGGAAACCAACAACAAGAGAAAAATAGTCATTTGTCCGGAAAAACCTTGAAACAAACCCTCAGAAGAAGCTGCAAATCCACATTCAACCTTTTAAGAAATCTAAGAACCATTAAGGTTAGACGATAATCATTTGCCTGATTCAGAAATCATGAATTTATTAAGATTGTTTCTATTTAGACTAAAAATTTCCAATCTGACGTGTTTACTGAGAACATGAATGAGCCAAAAAATCAAACATTATAACAATATTTTGAAATCAATAATTGCAAAACAAAACCTAATTAAAAATCTAGGAAATAGTATATTTTGCATACACTTAACCCCCAAATTCACCCCGATTGAAACCAGAAACAATCAAATTGAATAATAAATTAATACACACTTTACACGTCAGTGATTGAAATTGCTAATTCCCTATTGAAATCTTATAAATCTTACCGTCGGTGCTTATTTAGTCTCGGGCCTCAATAGAGACACAATTCACTAATCATAAGAATACAAAAGGTAAGTACATATTATATAATTAATATTATATATTATTTTCAAATTATTTTAGGCCTTTAAATATGTCTGTGGCAACAGAAAATCTAGTCCGCAATGCCGGAGGCTTTAGCCCTTTGAACACATTTTCCTTACTTTTGGTCACAGCCCTTTCACTATACTACTTATATTGGAGGGTATCCAGAAGGCGCATGTTGGAACTCGCCGAGAAAATTCCTGGACCCAAAGGGTGGCCGATATTAGGAAACGCTTTGGAATTCATTGGATCACCACACGGTAATAAATCTATCAGTTTTGTTCCAACCAACATGAGAACCGTATCTACTTATTACTGGTTCTGGAACAGTTCTCATGTCAGTTGGAACAGAGCTAGTTTGTTGTTTTATATTGTATTTTTGTAGAAATTTTCATGAGGGTTTATCAAAAGTCAGAGGAGTTTGGTCGTTTGGCCAAAGTATGGATCGGGCCCAGGTTGCTGATTTTCTTGACCGATCCTAGAGATGTCGAGCTGATTCTTAGCAGTCACGTGCACATTGACAAGTAAGAATTTTCATATTATTAGTTATTTTGAATTTTGTTGGATAAGTTTCAAATTTTTAACGAAAATCCTTTGCATTTGAATTTGTTACACCCTGTATACCTAGTACTCATTTGCAAATTATTAATAATTCAAAAACAGCCCAACAGTCATTAGCAAAAACAAGCCAAAAGCCTCATTAAAAATTAATAGACAAACACTTTCTTTTCCAGGTCACCAGAATATCGTTTCTTCAAACCTTGGTTGGGAGACGGTCTTTTGATCTCTACCGGCCAAAAATGGAGGGCCCACAGGAAATTGATTGCACCCACTTTCCACTTAAATGTACTCAAATCTTTTATTGATTTATTCAACAAAAACAGCAGGGAAACTGTTAAGAAACTGGAAAAGGAAATGGGCAAAGAGTTCGATTGTCACGATTACATGTCCGAAGCTACTGTGGAAATTTTGTTGGGTAAGTTTTGTGCATCTTTATATAAATATATATATAAATAAATAATTTTATTCCAGAAACTGCCATGGGTGTGAGCAAAAAAACCCAAGACCAAAGCGGCTACGATTACGCCATGGCCGTAATGAAACTTTGTGACATTTTGCACATCAGACAAACCAAAATCTGGCTTTACTCCGACTACATCTTCAACCTAACCAAAATTAGCAAGTACCAAAAAAGCCTCATCAACACCATCCACAGTTTGACTCGTAAAGTAATCAAAAAGAAGCGCGAGTACTTCATGGAAGGTATCCGTGGTTCCACTGCTGAAGTACCCGAAGAGCTAAAATCACACAAATATGAATTGAGTACCAGCACCAAAACAACCACCCTAGAAGGCACTTCATATGGACAAAGTGACGGACTAAAAGACGATCTTGATGTCGATGACGATGTAGGCGAAAAGAAACGTATGGCCTTCCTGGATCTACTCATTGAAGCTTCCCAAAACGGCGTAGTAATCAACGACGAAGAAATCAAAGAACAAGTAGACACTATTATGTTTGAAGGCCACGATACCACTGCGGCTGGATCCAGTTTCTTCTTATGTCAAATGGCCGCTCATCCAGAAATCCAAGAAAGAGTTGTCCAAGAGTTGAACGAAATCTACCAGGGCTCAGACAGGCCTGCAACATTCGCTGACACTTTGGAAATGAAATATTTGGAAAGATGTTTGTTGGAGACTCTTAGGTTATTCCCTCCTGTACCAATTATTGCCCGTCAGCTTCAACAAGAAGTACAATTGGGTAAGTTTTGAAGCCTCTATTATATGGAAATCAAATTATAATGTTTTTTTTTTTTTCTATATAGCTTCTGATCCAAATTTGAGGCTACCAGCAGGAGCTACAATAGTTGTAGCCCAATTTGGAACCCACCGATTGGCCGAATACTATCCAAACCCTGAACAATACAATCCTGACAACTTCTTGCCTGAAAAGGCAGCCAACAGACATTACTATGCATTTATACCTTTCAGTGCTGGCCCTAGAAGCTGTGTCGGTAAGCAACTTATTTTTAAAAAAATACACATTAATATTACACTGATAAATTCTAGGTCGTAAATACGCTATGCTAAAATTGAAGATTCTACTTTCAACAATTTTGAGGAACTACAAAATCACTTCAAACTTGAAGGAAAACGATTACAAGTTGCAAGGTGATATTATTTTGAAGAGGCAAGATGGGTTCAGGATTAAGTTGGAACCCAGGAAGTTTGCGGGAACCGTCAAGGCGTAGAAATGTTATATTATGATACCCACCCTAAGGCTAGTCGTGACTGTTTTGTATTTATTTAGTTAGGAAGCATTGGAACAAGTAAATGTTCAATAATATACAAGGTTGTTTTATTTGCAAATTAGTGGACTTTGGATTTTAGTATGCAAATCTTCAAACCTCAATATCTCGATAACCAAAAACGATACTGGAACCAAATTTTTAGGGATTGTAGCTCTTGATAAGAGCAAGAGCTTTCAGATGGTATTTAGCTGAAATCGCTAGTGTTTACAGTTTTTTAGAAAATCGAGTATGAAGTTTTAGACAAAATCTAGACTAAATCTCAACTTTGAACCTCGATATCTTGGAAACTTCAATAGCTACAAAATTCAGTCTTGCACGTCTTTATAGAGAATTTAATACTCTTTTCAATGATGTATAATTGTAAGCAATTTTCTCAAAAGTCATGGATGATATGGGCAATTATTCATGAGCGTGTCAAGATATTTTTATATCAAGAGCCCAAAATGAGATTTCCTGTTCAGGAAAATAAAGATGAAAATTGATGATCTGCCGAAATAATTGGTGTAGTTTTTGAATTTAATATATTTATCCATTGGGGTGTCCTGATAAACATACTAAAAGTCCCCGAGGGTGGTCAGTGAGCTGGCAATAGGGAAGGGAGTGAAAGGTTATTTTTTTGCTTATATCTCTAAGGGCCGGTTTATTTACCTTGTGATTAAACAGTCAGATATGGAATCTGACAGATAAAAACGCAATCTGTAACCCCAGAACTTCCCACAATGTCTGTTGATAAGTTTTTCAGTCTTTGGAAAACAATAATGATCTGTGCACCAAATGGAAAGCTTTCTTCTATCTCCTTGATCCCTGATGCGTTGATGAGACAAGAGAAGATCTACGTGTGTTTCTTGTAACCATTTAGCTAGCGTCGAATTGGTAATTCCTCTTCCTTGAGTCATTCTTCCAGAGCTCTTCATGCTGCGCATCAAAGTTTGCTCTATGGTCATGTTAGACCAAATGCCACTCCAAAAGGAATCGCCTCTTCTAATAGTAAAGTATCTTTGCTGGGCAAATAACTCAAATTCGTTTGGCTTAATTCTTGTTTCAAGCTGGATCATATCCTGCTGATACAGATGAGCACATCGCGCGTACTGAAAATGACCACAAGCAAGTAAAAATGGAATCATTCTCTGAACACAGCTAAGGTGAGCCTCCCAGTTACCAGATCTTTCTGCAGCAATGAACTGTTTCATAATTGTGACCATGTGAGTAGGCCCATTTTCTTTTAAAATGTCTGATTAAGTTTTAATTTTGTTTTGCAGTGAAGTCAAATGCTCGTTATTGTTCAATGTTTCTGAACTTAGTGGTTCTGTTGGCATATCTTTTAAAAGGATATTAACAGTTGTCAGTTGTCTTCTCGTCATCGCTTATATTCATATTATTTAATATTATCAATGATAAGGTAGCGTGTATATTAACAAATGTGCGCAAATTACTCTAGCATAAGCATGACCACTTAACATTTGAATTGGGAGCAAATATATTGCATAACAAATCCCTGCCATTATTTTATCAATGCAACCAAAATAAGACATTAACGTGTCGAGCCCACCAAGTCTAAACAACTATTCTTTTGAGCTTGGTATCATCTTGACTAGATGCAACAATGTCTCGGGTTTTGATATAAAAGAGAGGATCTGAAACGTTTAGTTCCAGGCAAATCATTAACCACGTAACGGTCATTTTAAAGTTTCTTCGTAACGACAAAACGTCGTTTAAATCGAGATTCAAGTTTTCTATTTTGTCCATCATTAGGGCCCTTTGCCTTGTGGACATTACAAGAACATATTGTCCAACGTCAAACGTTTTTGGTGCAGCATGTTCACTATCGTAACGTTCTTTATGATATTCTCGCATTCTTGTCTTGATATAATTCTCTGAGAAACGTCATTCCTCATTTCAGCCAGATTCTTTCGTATTCGTATACAAAGGCATCGTCAATACTTCGTGGCCCAAGAAACAATTCATATGGACTCTTCCCAGTGGTTAAATTAACCGTAGAATCAATTCCCCACTGTACTCTATTCACGGTCTCATCCCAACGGGTTTCTTCGACGGTTGATGCCATCATCGATGGAAGAATAGCGGTTCATCCGTTCTACTTGGCCGTTAGTCCTGGGTGTGGCAGTAACGCACAAAACTTGCTTAATTGCTGAAAAATCCTTGAAACTTGCACTCGTAAAAGCGATATCGCGATCACAAACAATACGTCTTGGAACTCCAAACATCGAGGGCAAAATGACCTGAGTCATCATGATAGAGTGATAAGATCCTTCTTCCTTCTTCTAGAATTTTTTGGAATTACCCATCTTTTGCCTTGCTCAGTTTTTCTGTGAAGCCGTTTGACTTTCAAGCAGTACTCTTTGTATATTCTTTGCCTTTTTTTATTGGTAGGGCATCAAATTCAAAAAAATAGGCACCGTTGAAAAGAGAATTCGATGACCTTTGAAATGAGGTATCTACTGTATCAATGAGTATCAATAAAATACAATTTTATAGAAAGAACGACACTAACATTTGAAATAATAATGTACTCGGTGCGGAAAAAATACACACGCGTTAAACAAACGATACAATGATGTCCTGCGAGGTTAGTAAAATGGCACAAATGTGGTTTCCAAGGCCTTTATGCATCGCTACGTAGATCCTTCGAGAAACGCCCAGCGAACAGCTCACATTATTATGAAGCGATGGCCTAACGGCTTGGAATTTTTAAATTAGAAAAAAACGCAATATTCTCGGAAATAAAAGCATTAAACTCAAGCTCACAATTAATCCTACTGAAAAACCAGTAAAACTAGCCAGACAAGACAACCCATCCGGAGGGTGCCAATCTCTGTTGAAGTTTTAGTGGAAAAGAAATTACACGAAGAGGTGAACCAAGTGTATGGATGTCTCCCATAGTTGTCATCTTTAAACCAAATGACGATATACGAATTCGCGTTGACATGCGTAGGGCCAATGACGCAATTTTAAGGAAAAATTATCGTATTCCTACTTTTGAGTCATTTATGACGAAACTTGAGGCCGGTTTATTCATCTTCTGATAAAGTGTCAGGTATGCAATCTGACAGATAAAAACGGAATCTGTAACCTCATTGCCAGTAATCCGGCGACCAATAGAATCATAGAATGGTAAATTTATCTTGCAGATAGTTACCAGCAAGTTTATCAGAAGATGAATAAACCATGCCTTAGAGACGCAAAATTCTTTTCAGGCTTAGATTAAACTAACGCATATAACCAGTTAGAGTTAAGGGCCCCACACACTACGTTCTTTCTCGTTGGTTTCCATCGCCGCGATGAAACACGACAATCTAGAACCGAAGTGTGTGGTAGACAACCGTCGTGTCTCATCGTCGGTTCGAAATTCAGTCCGAGCTTGATTTCTGGCACGACGGTTCAACATTTCGTTCCAAAACCGTTGCATGTGGGTCCAACTGCCAAAAAATCGCGTAGTGTGTGGTGAAAACAGGCTGACGATGAAACACGACGTTGTTAATCGCGACGATGAAAACCGACGAGACAGAACGAAGTGTGTGGGGCCCTTTAGACGAAGAAAGCCGGTACATTACCACATTTATCACATAAAGGTATGTTTCATTACAAGCGATTGATGTTCGGTGTCAGTTCGGCTCCTGAAATATTTCAGAGAACACTGGAGGCAATATTGTTGTCATGCAGTAACTGTTTGAATTACTTAGATGATGTTATAGTTTATGGTAGCAATGAGATTGAACATGATACAGCACTTTATAAAGTTATGAATGTGTTCAATGCAAACAATGTTCTTCTTAACGAAACAAAACGTGTAAGGAAGGTAAAAGAGCTTCAATTTTTAGGATATAGTATTTCAGATTTGGGAATAGATGCTGATCCAAGAAAAATAAAAGCAATTCAGGATTTTAGGTCGCCCAAATCCAAAGAAGAAGTAAGGAGTTTTTTGGGCCTAGTTACTTATTTAGGGAAATTTATTCAGATTAAGGGACCACACAGAACCTCTTCGACAACTAATCAAGCAAGATAATTAATTTCAATGGAATGAAATCCACCAACAAAACTTTATCAAGCTAAAGAATTCGTTAGCATCCCTCACTACTCTGTCCTATTTCAATCCAAAGCGTAGAATTCGCTTAATAGCGGAAGCGGATGCTAGTCCGGTAGCTCTAGGAGTGGTACTTTTACAATTTGACCAACAAACGTCTCATGTAACTTCCTCTGCTAGTAAAAGTTTATCCAGTACAGAGTGCCGTTATTCTCAAAGCAAAAAGAAAGGCCTTTTTTTTTTACGGATATGCGCACTCGCAAGGAAATGTCCTATCACGCTCGAGAAGCGGCAAGTGCGCGGAAATGTCGGTGTATGTTGGTCTTGAAACAATGTCGGTGTATGTTGGTCTTGAAACGGTTCAGGTTGTAACCTGCAGGGAAAACCGTCGCAGGGAGTTTATTCCACAGCGATGCTGTTCTCCAGAGATATGAATTCTGATATAATGAGGTTCTTGGTGCCTCTAGTTTGACAGTAAATTCATGGTTACCGTCTGTTTGACGGGTTCGCCTGGTAGGCGTTACTCTCGGTGGAATCATACGTGCCAACTCTTCAGAGCATTTTCCGTGATAGTACCTGTAGAAGAGAGATAAATCGCCCACAGATCTGCGATGTTCGAGACCATCCAAGTTACGAGTAAGTACGGGGTCATTAATCAGCTTGATAGCTCGTTTTTGCACGGTGTTCAAAAGCATTAAGGTATGTTTGGGTGCTGCACTCCATATATGTGAGCAGTACTCCATAGTTGGTCGAATCTGGGCTTTGTAGAGTGTCAGCAATTGGCTTGGTGTGTACAGATGTCTTGTACGAAATAGCACCCCCAGCTTTTGGGAGGCCCTTTTAGCAATATCTGCCACGTGACTGTGCCAAGACATGTTGGTCTCTGCAGTAACCCCCAAGATGTTCAACTGAGTCTGTAATGTGACAGCACTTCCAGATAGCATGATGTTCGGCTCACCGGTGCTGGTCTTTTTTGAAAACAGAGCTGCTTGGGTTTTCTGCGCGTTGAACTGTACAAGGTTTTTGTTACCCCAGTCCTCTATTATCTCCAGGTCGTTATTTATCTGCGATATTTGAGTTAGTCTAAGATGATGGAATTCACGTGCGGAAAGACCTGTGGGTGGTAGGAGTGAGGAGACTACATTGCCATCGTCTGCAAAGCAATAAAGTGGATTTACTGTTTTATCTATGAGGTCATTTATGTAAATCAGAAAAAGAGTTGGCGAAAGGATTGCTCCCTGTGGCACACCAGCATTTATTTGGTAAGAGTTGGAGTTCTGGCCATCCAGTGCAACATAAATGGATCTGTCCTTTAGGTAACTTTCAAACCAAGTGCAAAGTTTCGGCGATAATCCCATTGCTTTGAGCTTGTTGAGCAGATTTTCATGCCAAACTTTGTCGAATGCTTTAGATATATCTAAGGCAATTGTTCTTGTTTCACCCCGCAACTCAATCGCTTTTTGCCATAAGTGAGTGACGTATGTAAGTAAATCGCCAGTTGACCTATATTTTCGAAATCCGTATTGCTTATCGTTGATAATTTTGTACTTTTCCAAGTACTTGGTTAGGTGATTGTTCACAACTCTTTCCATTACTTTTGATATCACCGGAAGTAGAGCAATTGGTCTATAGTTTAACGGATCTGTCTTTTTTCCTTTCTTTGGAATGGGTTGTACTGCGGCAGACTTCCATGATGATGGATATACTCCTTGCCTGTAAGACAAATTGAATAATTTTGCGAAAGTTGGGGTGAGTTCGTTGGCGCAATTTTTGAGTACTACTGCGGGAATGCCATCCGGACCCATTGCTTTGTTTGTATCCAGCTTTTTAAGGGATTTTCGTATTTCTCTGTGACAAAAGGGTACCTCTGGCATACTATGGGAAACCCTTTCAATGAACGGTGGAGTTTTTCCGTTTGGCACTGTTAGGTTGGAGTTGGAGGAAAACATTTGGGCCAGCATATTGGCTTTTTCCTCTGATGTTGTGGCTAAGTGATTATTTTTATCTGTAAGTGGTGGTATGGATGACTTGGTGAAGTTAGATCCAACAGCTTTTGCAAGAGACCAAAAGGACCTAGAACTACTTGGACAATTCAGCAACCTGTTTTTTATTCTTTGATTGTATGTTTCTTTAGCGGAGTCAATAGTAATTTTGCAACTATTTCTGGCTTCTATAAATTCTGTGTGGTTTTGAGCGGTTTGTTGTCGTTTCCAAAGGTTATATGCTCTGTGTTTTTTCTGTACAGCCGTTTGACACTGGCTGTTGAACCAAGGTTTTGCATTAGCTCTACGTTTAGTTGTATGTGGGATATATGCATCCATTACAGATAAGATTACTTGTGTTATTTCATTACAGCAAATAGTGGGATCAACTGTTTTAAAGCAAACCTCTTGCCATGGAAAATCCAGGTAAAACTGTTTTAGGTCATTCCATTTTGCCGATTTATAGTGCCACATTTTACGAGGAAGTGGTTGTTGGCTTGGTGGGATGAGCATTTCGCACTTTGTTATTATAAGTTTATGATCGGACGAACCAAGTGGAGCATCTACTTGAATTGTGTACGAGTCAGGATTTGTGGTTAGGAACAAGTCTAAAAGCGCTGCAAATTCGCCCCTTTCTGAGATACGGGTAGGTTCATCGACAAGCTGCGTTAGACCACAACTTATGGCAAAAGCTTCTGCTTCTCTGCCTTCGTTATCTGTTTTGTTGTGGCCAGGGTATATTGTGGACGTTGAAATCGCCTAAAAAGACAATTTCCGCCTGTGGATAGTTTGACTGTATACCATCACAGCTTTCGGATAATGTCGCGAAAAAGTTTTGGTACTCGGTGTTAGATGGCGGTCGGTAGAGGCAGCAGATAAACTTGGTCGATGACTTTGAGGTGAATTTTAGCCATATGATATCAAGTTTCGCTGGTTCTAGCTTCTCCTTTCGATGACATGAAAGGTCATTTTTAATGTACACACAGATCCCAAAATTATGTCGAAATTGGTGGTGTAGGTCATAGCCGGGATAAAGATAGTTCACAATAGGTGTTGCAGAACTGATTTTAGTTTCAGTGAGAAAAAGGATGTCAGGTCTTTGTTCTTCAAGATGTTGGTGAACTGAATTCATATTTGTACTTATTCCTCTTATATTGCTAAAATCAATTCTGAGTTGAGTTTTTGATCTTCTCTTTATATCTTTGCATGAAGGACCCCCAGGATCACCCGACGCCCGGAGATCCGAGTGGTCGGGTATTTTACCTCCGGAATATTTTGATCCTGGAGGCGCCATCATGCTATCTGTTACTCATTGTTGGAACCGGACTGCCAGCGCAGTAGCGGAACGTGGTGATACCACTTAGCGCTACTCAATTCTGGCATGGTGGTATCTCACCGGTCGACGCCCAATGAGTAAAAAGCGTCTACCACCTTCCTGGAATAGACAAAATTTGAGACGGAGAAACAAAGAAAAAATTCAATACAAATTGAGTTTAAAGTGCTCAACAAGTACAGACATAGTTTTTCTATTCCAGGCTCTCGTATTCACTCTAATTCTTGAATCTTCTTCATAAAGATGTGAGCCGAGAATAGACCAAATTTGAGACGGGGGAACACAGGAAAAATTCAAGACAAATTGAGTTTAAAGTGCTAAACAAGTACAGACATAGTTTTTCTATTCCAGGCTCTCGTATTCACTCTAATTTTCGAACATTCTCCATAAAGATGTGAGCCAGGGATAGACAAAATTTGAGACAGAGAAACAAAGAAAAAATTCAAGACAAATTGAGTTTAAAGTGCTAGACAAGTACAGACATAGTTTTTCTATTTCAGGCTCTCGTATTGACTCTAATTTTTGAATCTTCTTCATAAATATGTGAGCTGGGGATAGACAAAATTTGAGACAGAGGAACAAAGGAAAAATTTAAGACAAATTGAGTTTAAAGTGCCAGACAAGTACAGACATAGTTTTTCTATTTCAGGCTCTCGTATTCACTCTAATTTTTAAAATTTTTCCATAAAGAAGTTTGGAATATCACACCACTACAAAAAACAGGTGAGCACCCAAAACTCCATTTCATTTAACCTTGGAAATTTCGCTTTCATTATCTAAAAACTATAATTTTTTCCTGCACCAAAAACGCAATCGAGAAGCACTCCAAAAATGATATATTTTCACATAATAAAAGCTTTAAATCAACAAAATACTTCACTAAAACCACTTCAAATCCCTTATAAAAACCCTAGCAAATTGCATCTATGCAAGTCAAATCAATGATGTCGTTCCAAGTAGCAACTCTTGTAGCTTTACTAGCAATCGGGGCATTTTCCATGCCCCAAAAACAAACCTTCTCCCACGAGGGAGTCGGCTACGCCGTCCTGAACCACACAGTACAACCGGCACCCGACGGTTGCACCATCAACAGCGTAAAAGACGTCGCCTCGGTTTGTGCCGCTTGCACCAAAATCAACGTCGGTTCATTTTCGGTACCAGCCGCCAATCAACCCTTGATCATGAACCTCAAACAAGGTACCACTGTGACGTTTACCGGCACAATTAAATTTGACAAACACGCAGTCAACGGGTATTTAATGGAAATTATTGGTACTAAAGTTAATGTTGTTGGATCAAACAGTAAGTGAATTTGTACTGTTTTTCAAATTTTTCAAAACATTTTTTCAGCTCATCAATTGCACGGTCGAGGCGAACAGTACTGGGACGGAAAAGGTGGTGCCGGTGGTCCCAAACCCACTTTCTTGTACCTTAAAGCAACCGGCGGTTCTCATTTTGCAGGCTTGCACCTGAAGAATTGTCCCGAAAGGTGTGTAGCTATCGATGGTTCCAACGACATTACGGTTTCTGGATTTTTGGTCGATAACCGTGAAGGAGAACCTGTAAGTAGATTTGTGGGGTTTCTTTTACAAATATGTTATTATTCGTGGGGATGAAGCCAGTTATTAAAAGAAATAAGACTCTTTTATCTATTGAAAGCTTTCGCAATATTTTTTATTGCTTCGTCAGTCATACTTAAATATATTATTTAATATAAATATAAAGTTAAATATAAATTCTTAAAGCTAAAAAGGTACTTACAGATCATGAGTACCTACTTTGAATCTACACCATTTCAACCTCAATTTCGGATAAAGTAACTTTTATCTAGGAAAATGTAAAAGTCATTTTCGGAAATAATCAAATCAATTTCAGAAAAAGTAAATTTAATTTCGGAAAAAGTGAATTCAAATTCGGAAATAGTACATTCAATTCATTGAGGTTGAAATGGTGTAGTTGTCTGTGATTATTAATGTCATTGGTGATTACACGTAGGAAAATTAACTGCATTGTAAACACACACCTTCTCAGTTTCGTATGTTAGTTATAATTTTCCGTACGCGAAGTTAAGTTAAGTGGACGTAAATGACTCTTTAGATCTGATGCCTTTACTCTTTCACAACATGTAAATCAAACAGGATATTCAATGGATTTCCAAAATACAAAAGCGAGCGATATATTGATGGTGTTTATATACTTGGAGCTTGCTATCTAAAATCTGTGGAAGAGGGTCTATTTGCAAGAGAGAGAAACAAACTAATGAGGTGTACTAAATTATATTTTATTTCACATAAAACCCAAAAATCAGCCAAATATCTTCCAATACTTTACTTCCTTCTTTATTTCTGTAAAATCAATACTTCACATCCGTTCTATATTGTTATTTTACGGACCACTGAAATATCCCTACTAAATAAGAAACGCCCTATTCATACTATTTCTCATAAATTATAATTTAACTCATTTTACTACATCCGAATCATTCCTAATAACTATCATTTACCTAATCAAATAATTCTTTAAAATCTCTAAGTCCTTTACTTATGAAAACCCAAAATAATTACCTATTTGTTTATCAACTAATTTATTCTCATAAAATCTTACAATGACTTCTACTTGAAACATAAAATTCCTAATTCAAAATTCATTTCATGAACAATAAATTCTTTTAACAACTTTCCCATATTTTAAGACAATTCTATTTCATGAACTTCAAGTTTTTTTCCAAAATTTTCTTTTCCCTTTAATAGTTTATTTAATCAGAACAAATTCTATTATAAGTTTCCTTTTAACAACATTCCAATATTTTAAGAAAACAATTCTATTTTATGTCATCAAATCTCTTTTCAAAATTTCCTATTGCAGTTAATAGTTTATCAGAACAAATTCTATTTTCGGATTCGTATGCCTAGCTAATAAATTCAACTGTTTAATCATAATTCCAACTCAAAATTGTATATTGTTAAATGCATTATAAGTACTCTTCATATTTTCTTTGCACCTTTAAATGTCATTATATCTGAAGGTAATTAAGTTATGCGATAATGTTTCCTTTATAAAACACTCAAGTTTATTGTAATAAAGTTCCACCGTGATTAAAATCAAAAGTTTTCTAGTAAAATTCACACAAAGTCATGTTCATCAAAAATAAATCTTGTCACTATAGAGTACTTACATTTTGTCCATAAAACACACGTAAAATTACTTAATTAATTACTCAAAATATTTAGCTAGCACGCACATAAATTACTGAACGAATTTCAAATGTTATTACTTTCACGATTCTCCGTAATAATTTTCTAAGTTAAATTATACCCGAGGCCAAACGCCTTAAAAGTAACTTTTCGCGAAACTGGACAGACTTTAATGTGCATAGCGTACTGCCAGCAGGACAAAAAGTGAACATTTGAGGACCCTATTAAAATGCCTATATTAGGATTAAAAGACCTGCTAGAAGGACTTTTAGACCTTCTAGTAAATAGAGAAAATCTTGAAATTTCAGCGCATTTTTTGATCACAGTCCTATTGCTAACCGTTACCGAGTAATTATCAATCAAAGTCGCGCCATTTTAGTCATGAAAATGATACTTATTGGGACGCGTTTGGCCGTTTTAGCCACATATTTCGATTTTAATTGGGCCTACTATCTTGGTTTTCGACCAGATTCACAAATCAATAATAATTGAAATAATACTAAATAAATAGCAAACAAACGTTTCGTTTCCTCTTAGTTTTAGTTTGATTTTTTTTGTTGAATATTTATTTTTCATTTGACTTTGTAACCCAGTGTAGTTTATTTCATTTCTCAAGTAGCTACATATTAAACAACTGAATTTTTCAAAAATATGTCTTTGATTTTTTCATTTAGATTGCTGCAGTCATTTCACAAAATCTGTTAAAATATAAAATAGGCTTGGGAATATCAAGAACCAAAATTTAGAAAAAGATAACTACACATATACTTAATTGGTGGGAAAAATAAAGTATATTTCAATTTTAACAAAGTTTAAGTTCAATTGGCGGTATTATATGGCCTAGATCTGTCATAATAGATCTGCAACACTTTTCAATTATAAGTACTTCTGGAATCAGCGCGTACTGCCAGCAGGACGTGCAGCGTTCTCTCTACAGGACCAATTAATAGGCCGAGTCAAGTCCTGCTCGCAGGACGCGTTCATTTACATAAAAGTACTCTCAGAAGCGCTTCCAGCAGGACAAATCACTATGCACTCTATCATTAACTCAACTGGACTGCACAACTCTTAACTGGCAACTGTCTTCTCCTTCTAAAAAAACGCGCTATTTATATAATTCGATGCTCCCAATCTCTTTGTCCATGACAATCAAGATGATGCAATTTCCTTGTAATTTTATATCATTTTTAGCCTAAAATCAATTAATTATGTCGCAATAATCTGATTTATTGAGGTCAACACAACACGTATGGGTTCAAGAATGCCATAATTCATTCGACTCAATTTTTGGTACGCGGAAAGGCCTTGGCTAACAAAGTTCATTGATCGGTTATTAGTGATGTCATCACCTTGTCTTCGTTTTTATTATTTTTAAGAATTTAATTTAGAAGACGACCAAGCGAGGGGGGTCGAATTACGTAGCGTTAGTTTGTTTCATCTTTAATTTATCGATACAGATTTAAAAATACCGGAATTAAGTTTTGATTATTTGATAAAATTTAATATTTTTACAGTAAAGACTTTGTAATTATCGGGTCAAATTTCTGGATCATTACACATTTTTAAATAATGTTATTGCACTCTGATTATCCACAAACAAGTCAATTTTTATGTCACTTCCAGTAAATTCGTCTATCATAGCTTTCAGAAACAGAAGTTCCTTGACACATTCTGGCCGCTGCTATGTACTCTGATTCTGTACTTGACAGAGACACAATATGGTTGCTTTCTTGAACACCCCAATATGGGACCACCACAAAGAAATATTACGTATCCTGTAGTATTCTTTCGACTTTCATTGTCTCCTGCAAAATCTACATCACTGTATGCTATCAGTTTCTCGCACTCAGAATGGTTATAAGTAATTCCTTCTTCTTTTGTTGCCACTAAGTATCAAAAAATCCTTTTCACATTCACTACATCATGATTTGATTGTTTTGCAAACCTCCTGCTGCAATAATTGACTAAATAAGACAGGTCTGGTCTACATTTATTTGTCATATAGAGTAAGCTGCCAACTGCTTCTCTATAGGGATAATTTGCATGATTTTTCATTTTCACTGGATCATTGTTAAGATCATTCTCTTGTGATATCCCAAATTTATTTGAATGTCATCTCTATGTAATTTTCTTGATTAATAACAATTTCTCCTGGTTTTATCAGGATTTTGTTCTGTAAGCGTTTTGGATCAGATAAACTTTTCGTCGTATTTTTTGCTCCTCTATCCGATAAAATTATTTTTTTTTCGAAATTCAAAAATTGAATTTTACTTAAATCTTAGTTGAATAGTTTACAGTTAAAGCTCTGCTACTTCTAAATCAAAGCAAATTCGGAGGCAAATCATAATTTTATCACTACAGAACTATACTACAAAATTTCCTTTAATTACCCCCAAAATTGCCTTAAATTGCTTCAAATTACCAAAAATTACCCCGAATTACCACTACATTTCCGCTAATTTCCACTAAATACCACTGTATTTCCCCTAATTTCCAGTCATTACCACTCATTTCCCGTGAAATTTCCACTAATTACCACGATTGTGTACACTAAATTACCACAATGAAATCCTCCTCGTAAAAAAGCGAAAGTACTAGGCATGAAGTATAGTTCATTTGAAAATCCATTTTTTAATAACAAAATGTAGATAACAATAAAACGCTAAATAATTCAAAAGATCTATGCTTATTTTGATAACTGATTTCTTCAATTTCGCCTATTGTAAAAAATAAACATTTCCTAAAGAATCCATCAGCTTTTGACAATTTGGTAAGGATCCCGCCTGGATGAACCTGATTGGTGGAGTTTTTGCCACGGGGAACCATGCAATTGTCAGTGGGCTAACGTCACCTTACGTCTCGCTATTGGCCAGGACTCTTGTCATTTTATCCTCCTATCTTGGAATATCGATTTATATTGAAATATCCAGTGGCGGCGGTTTGGTCATTGTCGATTTTCGTGTACGAGTTGCAATACGATAATACTTTCAAAAAATTTTGCATGCAGCTGGGTATTTTATGAATGAAATCAGCCATTTTTTTTACAACTGCATTTCGCTTACCGTTGCCCCGTAGACATAATGTCTGTCTAGCGGCTCTGTGTCTACGGGGCAACGGTAAGGGGAATGCAGTTGTAAAAAAAATGGCTGATTTCATTCATAAAATACCCAGCTGCGTGCGGAAATTTTGTATTGCAACTCGTACACAAAAATTGACAATGACCAAATCCCCGCCACTGGATATTTCAATATAAATCGATATTCCAAGATGGGAGGATACAATGACAGAAGCCCTGGCCAATAAGGAGACGTAAGGTGACGTTAGCCCACTGACAACCGCATGGTTCCCCGTGGCAACGGCGATTCTGCCAAAAACTCTACCAATCAGGTTCATCCAGGCTGAATGGTTGCCAAATTGAAAAAGCTAATGGTATATCTTTGGAAAATGTTCATTTTTTATATTACACAAAATTAAAGAAATCAGTTATTAAAATAAGAATAGATCTAACAACCACGTTAGAATCTTTAGCGTTTCATTATTGTTATCTATATTTTGTTATTAAAAAATGGATTTTCACATGAACTATACTTCATGCCTAGTATTTTTGCTTTTTTATAATTAAACGTGGCAACATCGCACATTTACGCCCGAATTCCTTCCGTAGACTCAGAACCGCTGGGCAGACAATAGAATCGCAGGGCAGACATTACCTAGTATACCTTAATGTAATTGGGAATAAAGCTATAGATTTTCATCATTACTTGATTTATAATCATCCTAATCGATTCCAGGGTAAGGCACCCAAAGGCAAAGAAGGTCACAACACGGACGGTTTCGACGTGGCCAAGACCCAATACCTCACTTTGAAAGACCACGTGGTCTACAACCAAGACGATTGCGTCGCCATCAACTGCGGCGCCCACATGACAATCGACAACGTCAACTGTGACGGTAGTCACGGCTTTGACATTGCGACCGGCATGTCAAAAACCGACCAGGCCCGAAACATCGTCAACAACGTCACGTTTAAAAACTCTAAACTATTCAACGGCATGTACGGTTTGCACATCTTGACTTGCAACGACGGCGGTAAAGGATCCGTTTCTAACATCAATTATGAAAATATTAGCATCCAGGGTACTTGAACTCCTTAAAACTCAATAACTTAAACATCTAATTTATTATTACATAATTTAGGTCCATCCGATTATGGTATAATGATTCAACAAGACTTCTCTGACAAGTCGCAAGGTTCCACAGGTCATCCCACTGGTAACGTGCCAATTTCCAACGTCAGGTTCAACGCGGTTACCGGTAACATGAATGGAAAGTACTCGTCGGCTTTGACCATCAGATGTGCTTCGGGTGCCTGCAATAATATCGGCCTCAACAATGTCAAGATTACAGGAGCTAAGGCTAAAAACGAGTGTACCGGGTACAAAGTCAATGGATTTTGTTGATCCAAAATGTAATTGAATTTGAATAAATAAGTATGAGTATTTAAGATGTGTTTTTATTTATATACGGGATTCATTTTTGTTAAGTAGTATTGAATCGAAAGAAACTATTTTATAGATGTAAAATACCTGTTCAATATTCGGTACCAGAAAAACAACTATATCACTGAGCCGGTAGCCAATAAAAGACTTGAAACAATCTTGAAGCGATTGGTGTCACAAAATTTGTATGAATCATATGATGCTGTTTTTAAGATGGGTTCGAAAATGCATTATTGAATTGGTTCCAGACAGCGATAACGACACAGGCCAATATCTGCAAGTGGTAAAAACCAGTTCTAGTAGTACAACCAAGATCAGACCAGTATTTGACGCTAGTGCTGATATAAAAGGAATAGTGTCACTAAATCAATGCTTGGAGAAAGGTCCAAACTTTCTAAAGTTCATTCCACCAAACGAGATAGTAGAGGTAAACAAACAGGCGGAGCTTAAAAATTCAGAGAAGGACTGCAAAAATATGAATTTCAACTAATGACAATTATTATTGTCAGGTTGTCATATGAGTCAATAAGTTTAATGTCGTATTTCCTAGTATTTTACAATTATTTAAATAGTGTTTGGTGAATTATTGTTAATTATTGATCAAGTTCAACAAATTCCGCTGAAGAATTCGTTCGGAAATATATTCAGCGAAGAGAAATACAAAACAACCTAGGACGGTCCTGCCTTGGGCAAAGCATAATCCTTTTCTAGCTAATAAAATTCGACTTACCTGTCAAAGTTTGTTTACTGTCACTATCTCGTTTGGTGAAATGAACTTTAGAGATAAGTGTACATCCTGCGGATCAAGATTTCTTGCGATTTATTTGGATTCACAAGGAAAGGAAAGGATATACAGGCACAGACGTGTTATTTTTGGTGTGACAGGCAGCCCTTTTTTGTTAGCGGCCACCATCTGTTAGAAGTCGAAAAACATAATGAAGGTACTTCTGAATTTGACCATTCCTTGCTCTCAATTTTAGCGAAGAGGTTCTATGTGGACAACTGTGTAACCAGTCTACCGGAACCGAATCTACAAACTTCAGAAACTTTTATACGTCAATCCAGCATGGTTTTAGCACAAGCATAATTTGATTTGAGAGGGTGCGAGTTTTTTTGTCCAACACAAATTATTTCAGATAGTTCTGATAAACCCATTCCTTTTCTGGGACTTGTTTGGAATAATCGTGATGACACTTTGAGTATATCGATGAAGAATGTGTTAGAGATCTGGAGTTACTTATGATTAAGTCAGTTACCAAAAGGATCATGTTATCATTGGCTCAGAGGGTGTTTGATCCCATTGGTAGGCCTGTTTGATTACATTGATTCCGAAGCTGTTACTTCCGAAAACTTGGAAGGAAAAGTTGGTGTGGGACATTGAAGTTCGTGAGAACGTCAAGAAGTCATTCCGAGATTGTATAAAAGCTCTGCCCATTTTGGTTGACATCTAAGTTCCTCGTTGGATATATGCGTTTGGTGAAGGAGCTAAAATGAGCTTACACACGTTTTACGACGCAAGTAAAGTGGCCTACGACGGGACGGCGATCTTTTTGAGGTGTGCCTATCAGGAAACAGTTCATATTACTCTTTTAGCTGCAGAAAGTCGAGTTGCGCCAATAATTGTGCAGTTATTGGCACTACATTGTGCAATTCTGTGAAAAAAGCTCATGAATTCAAATTATTGAAGTGTTTTTTCTGGACAGATTCAACAACAGTAGGTATTGTCATAGATTAAAATAAAGGAAGCTACTCTTCATTTCTCTGTATGTAATAGAGTGACTAAGATTAAAAAGTCTTCCATAAAGGACAGCTGGAGTCATGTTCCTGATCCCAAAACCCAGCCGACCTTCCATAACGAGGCTGTTCACTACGATAGCTGTACGAATCTAAATGGCGGGAGAGTCCCAATTGGCTTTATGAAAACCCCAATTTCTGGCTTCACGAAATTGTCACCTATATAATGAAGCAGAGATTTTTGCTGACAAGAAAACAGGTGTTGTGAAAAGTTCAGCTTATTTCGAAGTAGTTAAGGGAACAGCGGCATATGATATAGTTTTCAATTTTTTTAGAACTATTCGTATGATTGGTTGGATATTGAGATTCGTACATAATGTGAGACATCTAGAGAATAAACACGTTGGTGAGCTATCCGCTGAAAAAATGAACAGAGCGGAAATTTTCGTTTTACGAACTGTACAAAGAGAAAGTTTTTCCAAAAATTGTATGTTTGAAGTCTCATATAGCAAATTGTGAAGATACCGAACTTTTTCGCATGCCTATAGTACTGCCATCTCGTCATGTTGTGATTGAGCGGCTCGTTTTCGATATCTATAGGAAATATTGTCATGTTGAAGTCCAGGGTTTATTGAGCTTTCTGGAGAGAAAAATACTGGATATTGGGTAAACCAAGATACATCAAAAGTGTAATTTCGAAATCTGTGGTGTGTCGGAGGCAGGCATCCAAGAGTAGCCAAGTCCAGAGTCTACCTCTGCCTACAAATCGAGGATTATAATCTGTTAGAACGCCAATGGTTGTGGATCCTTTCGTTCACTGATAAAAACGATATCTTGGTTAAAAGCAAATCGAAATTGGATCAAGATCGCCGTGGCTTTGTATATATTCAAATGAATCGTTTCTTGATCCAAGACAGCCATAATCTTGGAATCCCATTACATAAATTTAAGGATCGACTCTTAATTTAAAATCACCACAATTGATGCGTATGCTTAGTTAGTATCTTATTTCAAAGCACTATTCCTTTGATTTAAGATAACCTATGTGTGTAGACCAAAATCAATACTCTTGGATTAAAGATTTTGAATATTTTATCGTCTTTCATTTAAAGTTTTATTTCCTTCTCAAATATCGTAATTCTCTTAATTTAAGGACTCGTTACTTTAAAACAGTTCCATGAAAGCTTTAATTTGACATTCAAATGATTTCGATGAACGATTTGTGATATTGTTTTAAGAGAACGATTTCCTAGATTCAAGAAATGCGATCTTAAATCAAATACCTGGTTACTTTTATTTGAGTACCAGTGACATTCGTTGAAAGTTTTTTTTTTTAAATATCATGATTCTTTTGTTTCAAGATCTTGTTGCCTCAAAACAAGATAATGATTTCTTTAATTCAAGAAATAATTCTCTTCAATCAAATATCTCGTTACCTTTATTTAAAATCCAGTATACAGGGTGTCCGGCAGTACCTACATGAGGAATAATGGGAATTTTAGTAACCATTGAAGATACAGGGTGGACCAAATGGGGAAAAAGTCGTGCAATCATTTGCCTAGAAAATAGTCTGCCATCAACTTCCTAGGTTTTGAAGTTGATGACAGATTAATTGTATAGGCACTTGATTGAGCCAACTGTTTTCCCATTTGGCCCACTCTGTATCTTCAATGTTTTCCAAAATAGCCATTATTCTACATGTAGGTACATCAAGTTATTCCAGACACCCTTTATTAGAACAATAATGTAAGTTTTGGGTTATTTTTTCTCGGCTAAAGTTCGGATAAATTTATTCCTCAGTTGTACTGACATAATTTTTTTTACTATACACATACAAATATTGCTCAAAAATGCTGGATTTTAAATAGATGCAATTGAGTTGTAGATTCCAGAGGCGGTATGTTCTGGGCTAAAGAAAAGCATTATTGGAAATGAAATTGTATTTTATTCAATAAGGCACTGCAACTACAATATTACTTACTTGTAGATATAGATAAAACGAACAAAAATAGTAACGTTTATAAAAGTGAGCAACCTAGTCAAAGTCTAATAGCCAACCATCAAAAACAACACAACAAACCTCAAAGCATTTACCCATGTTGATGGTGAAAATCAAAATATTTTTTCTTTGTCAAGATTAATACTACTGGTAACATCCGATATATCATCAATTTTCTGTGCTGAAAAAGAAAAATAATTGTTTAATTAAGCTTTATGGAAATAACATGTAATAGAAAATTTCACTGGAACCTTTTTTAAAACAAAAAATGGGAAAAAAAGGAGAAGCGGTACCATGCGATCATGTAGCATGTAGGTAAGTTATATTAACTAACTAGCTGACCCGGCGAACTTCGTAGCGCCTCTGAATTATTAAATACCTATTAGATGTTGTGTTAACGTATCTATTAGCTGAATTAAATTCAGTTTTTTTTCCGATGGTGAATTTGGCTTTTGTTTTTGTAAATATTGCTGGTTCAACTAATTTAATTTTTTCTTCTGAATTGACCACAAAATTGAAGGGTAAATCAAAAAATAGACGAATTTTCTAGAGAGCCGAAAATTGCTGTGACTCCATTTTATTTATCTAACTAACTAGAGTACCCACAGTCACTATAACTAGCCTTGAAATTACAGTTGCCTCTTGATTTCTAGTGACATACAGTGTTGCCATTATTAGCAAAAAATACAAATATTACATTCTAAAAAATATAAGTTTTAACATAACTCCCCCCTTTGAAGGGAACCTTCAAAAAAAAAAAAAATACAATAATATGCGTTAAAGAACAAATGGAAGTACTTAACTCTAAAAAGAAAGAATAAAAGAATAAACAAAATAAAATATAGATTTTTCCACTTGCACTTGCACTGCACTTTAGTTATTGGTTTGATGTTGCGATGGCAATGGACACAAATGTCTAACAGATCTGAAGCTTCTTCCATTCTTGGTAAGAACCTCTGCGACCCTTGGAATACCATCTTTGCTGGGAGAAAAACTCAAAACTCGACCAATAGGCCAAAGATATGGTGGTTGTTTGTCGTTCCTTATTAATACCATGGTACCATCAGTCAATTTGGTGGGAAGTTCCTTCCATTTATACTGCTGATGGAGTTTAGACACGTATTGTTTCGAAAATTGTACCCAAAATTCTTGATATAACTTCTGTACATGCTGCAACCTGGTTAGACCGTTGGATTTTTCTTGCAGGTTGGAATCAGGAATAGAATTAAGGGGTCTGCCAATAAGGAAATGTGATGGGGTAAGTGGGGTCAAATCGTTAGGGTC